GGCACCCCCTGACACCCTTCCCTCCCGCAGGCACCCCCCGGGGGGGCTGCGTGCGGCAGACGCCCCCCCTGAAGCCCTCGCGCAGCCCCCAGACCCGGCTGTCCTCGGGGGCGCCGCCGCCGGCCTTGGCCGAGCAGGGCGAGGCGGAGGAGCCGGTGTACATCGAGATGGTGGGGGACGCCCGGGGGGTCCCGGAGCCCCGGCGGGGGGGCCCGGCGGGGGCGCCCCCTCCTCCGGCCGAGGAGCCCGAGGCCATCTACGAGGAGATGAGCTGCCCCCTGCCCGCGGGGGAGGGGCCGGGACACGCCCCCTTCCCGGGACACGCCCCCTTCCCCGGACACGCCCCCTTCCCGGGACACGCCCCGCACGTCGGACACGCCCCGCACACAGGCCACGCCCCTTTTGGCGGCCACGCCCCGCCCACAGGTCACGCCCCTTTTGGCGGCCACGCCCCGCACACAGGCCACGCCCCTTTTTCTGGCCACGCCCCACACGCCGGCCACGCCCCGCACTCTGGCCACGCCCCTTTCCCCGGCCGCGCCCCCCTCGCCGGCCACGCCCCTTTCTCCGGCCCCGCCCCCATCCCGCCGCCCTTCCCCAACCTGCTCGCGCCCCGCCCGCCGCCGCTGGCCCCGCCCCCCGAGGCCGCCTCGCGCCTGCCCCTCCCCTCGCGCCGCGAGGCCCCGCCCCCCGCGCGCGCGCGCAGCCACTCCACGCCCCTCCCCCCGCACCACGCGCCGGGCGGGGCGGGGCGCGAGCGCGGGGGGGCGGGGCTGGGGCCGCTGCCCCTGCCCCCCTCCGCCGAGGCCCCGCCCCCCGGGAAGCGCCCGCCCGCCTACGAGAGCCTGCGGGGGGGCGTGGCCGCGGCGGGCCCCGCCCCCGCCCGCGAGGAGGACACGCCCCCTCGCCGCGGGGGGGGCGGGGCCTCCGCCCGCCGCGGGAAGGAGCCCGAGAGTGAGTGACAGCGGGGGGGCGGGGCTTGGGGAGGCCACGCCCCCTGGGCGGGACTGACCGACCCCCCCCCCCTTTTTTCCAGAGGCGCCGGAGCCCCCCCGGGAGGAGCGGGGGGGGACGGGGGCGGCCCCGCCCCCCTCGGGGATCCCGGTACGGGCCGAGGGGCCCCGGGGGCGGCCCGGGCCCCCCCTGCCCTGCCAGACCTTCCCGGCCTGCGGCAGGGCCTCGGGTACGTGCTGGGGACCGGGGGTGACATTAGGACACCGGGGGACACCGGGGACACGGGGAGGAGGAGATGAGATAAGGACACCGGTGTGGACAGGGGACACGGGGATGGGGGTGACATTGGGACACCGGGGGACACAATAGGGGAGGTACATAAGGACACCGGGGGGGACACCGGGGACACGGGAGGGGGACGTGAGGTAAGTACACCGAGGGGGACACGGGGGGGCCCACAGATGGAGGTGACATTGGGACACCGGGGGGACGCCGGGGACACGGGGAGGGGGACATGAGATAAGGATACTGGGGCGGATGGGGGACACGGGGATGGGGGTGACATTGGGACACGGGGGACACGGGGAGGGGGAGATGAGATAAGGACACCGGTGTTGACGGGGGACACGGGGATGGGGGTGACATTGGGACACCAGGGACACGGGGATGGGAGATGACATAAGCACACC